AATATTAATTAAAAAATTAATCAGCAAATCCAATTCAACTAACCCAACCGAAACTCTAATTCCATACCCACCCGCCCAAATTCTTGAGACAACTCCTCTGCCAACGATCGCCGCCTCACCCACGACATTTCCGTCAACTTCAACTGCCAATTCGCCCACACCGATGATGATGAAGTCAATCCTTCCATCGTCTTCGTCTCCGAGCGAACCGACTGCTCTCGAATTTAGCAGATTGCAGCCCGCAACGGAATCCCCAAACCACTACCACCTCGGCAGTTGCCGTCCAGCGATAGTCTTTTAGCCCTCCCCCGACGATCGACTCCCAACTTCAAAACCCATATCTCTCAGACACCCTCTCTCGTCCATACTCTTCTTAATTAGAGACCTCAATTCCCCCAACGCTAAAAACAATCAAGCAATCAAATCCCTCACATCTTAAGTTTTCTAATTTGCCCCCCTTACTGTGAGCATAAACCCCTAAACCTCTGTTAAAATTAATTTGGCATAATTCTGTGGTTGTTTGTGGTAGCTTCGGGACATGGCGCTGAAGACCTCGGGAGCATACAAGCATTGCGCGCTGTGCACGATGGGTACGGGGTCGACGACGAACGACAATCATCAGAGCCTGCTCAAGACGAACCCAAGTGTTTCTGTCTCGAAGAATTCGGGTGGGTGAGTATAGAATTAGGGTTTTCGGTTGGGTTATCAGTTCGAATTGGATTTGATTATTAATCTTTTAATTAATATCTCAAATGACGTGGCGTGCTGACTGGACGAAAGTAACAGTTTTTTTGGGTGGAGATAGACGGAATTACCTTTTTGTTATTAGTCCAAACATTTGTTACTGAAACGTGCAAAATTAAAGGTTTATTACCGTTTTGTACAAAGTGTATAGTTTTGTGATCATTTATGATAATTAACCTCTAAATTTGCACCCAATCACAAGGTTTCGATTAAAAAAAATAAAACTTACTCACTGATAAATTTGAATTTTATAGAGTATTCTCTATGTTTGGCACGGCTTTTAGAAGTGCTTTTCGGATTCAAAATCTGAAACAGGACCAAACACCTGTAAAATCTCGGCTTTTGATTGCACCGCTGGATCAATTTTGGATTTTTTTTAGTTCACCCTACATGTGCTTTGAAGTTTGGAAGGATGATTATTAAATTTTTCTGAAATATATCAAAATATAGCGTCGCTGAACCACTGATTATTATGATTAGAAAGGTGTATACAGCTCAAAAGTACCAGTTAAGTTGTGCAAGTGATGATATCGACAGTGATTATTCCAAATAAGGAAAAGGGTAATAATTAACCACGTGCTTCTGTATTCAATGATATAATTAACCACCTGAGAAATGAAACAGAATAATATTAACCACGTGATTCTGTAATCTCGAGGTGAGATAGCATGACTACTTTAAAAAGAATTGGAAAAATAACATTCTCTATTAATTATAGGTTTTTAAGATAATAATTTTATGTTGCATTTAATAATATATTTGAAATTTAAACACATATTAATTATTTTTCTTTTTTCAATGTAATGGTAGTTGTATCGGTGCATTGATATCAGTATACATGTGTAATGTTAGTTGTATCAAGGAAATTGTAGTTTCAAAAAAAGAAAGTAATTAATAAGAGTTTTTAATTTCCAAAGATTATTAAATGCAACAAGAATTTAATACAAAAATAACTATAATTAATAAGGGTGTCATTTTTCTATCCTTTACGCGATTGTCAAGCTACTTTTTTCCTTTCCCGTAAAAAAGACACCCCATATAAATTTGATTATAAAAAAGTTAGTTAATTGTGCATATGGATCTGAAAAAGTTCGTCTAGACTCTCGTTTAAGTTCATTAGGCATAAGATTGATGGAAAATTCTTCGTTTTGATTACATCTAATGAGCGAGTAAACTGTCATGAGTACATTGTATGTGTTTCTCGACGTCTAAACAACACTAAGTCCTACCCTACCTTAAATGACGCAGTGGTGTCTGTCGGCCTGAAATTAAAGCTCGTTTCTGAAATATATTAAAGTATATCGTTATACACCGCCACCGCCATGGATCATTATGATTAGAAAGGTGTAAACAACTCAACATTACCAATTAACTTATGCAAGTGATGATATCCACAGTGATCATTCCAAGTAAGGAAAAAGGTTAATAATTAACCACGTGCTTCTGTATTCATTGATATAAGTAGGGGTGGACATTGGGTGGGTCGGGTGGATTTTGACCATAAAATGCACCCACCCGCGCTTAAACGGATTGATAATTTTTAACCCACCACCCACCCACATTTAGTCTCGGGTTGGGTCGGGCGGATGGTGGATGATGCGGGTGGGTTTGTGGGTTCACCCACATCACAATGTATATAATATAAAGGAGTCAACTTGACATGATAATAGGTGAAGAGAATCATCGAGGGAAACAAGAAGTTGAAATAGGGCGAAAAATGTCGAATTAGTTCTTAAATTGGATAGAAATTCTATTATGAAAGAGTTTTCTACAGATTGAGATGATTATTAGGTGCAAGGAACTAAGGAAAATAATTTCACAAAGGAAAGAGCGGTGATCTAGGCACAAGAATTAGAGGAAAAAGTAAAGGGAAGAAGAGTGGATCTCTATTTGGAAGGTTGGCTTTGAGGTTCAAACTTCAGGAGAAGTCCGAGTTTATATCTAACGTCTCCACTCTCCTCTCTCTAGCGCCAACGACTTTGATATTTTTGCTGTTGGGTTGAGCGGGTCACCCGCACACTCACCCACAACCCACCCACCACCCGGCGGATGGCTCCCAGCGCAACCCGTCACCCACCCACAGACCCACCCACTTAATGAAATTTGGGTCAAATGTGGGTGGGTCGGCCCAAACCCGCGGATGATCCGCCCGCATGCCCAGCCCTAGATATAAGTGACAACGTGAAAGGTGTAAGTAACCAGCTCAGCATTAGTTAGTAAATATTTAACATACCTGGTCAGCAAGTTGAGGATATTTCGTCACATTTTCACTATAAATAGGACTCGCCAAAGCACGGGTTCCAAAACACACAGATCAATATATCACAATCTATCTATCAATAATAATAATAATAATAATAATAATAAAATGTCTCGGTTCGTGATGGAGTCCAACAATCTATGGCTGATTGCAATGACCGACGGCACGATCAGGGTGATGGATGTTAACGGACTGCTATATCAAAATGCGGTAAAGAGACAGATCGATTTAACGTGGTATTCCTGGAAATCCAGGACTAATCCACGGAAGAGCTAGGGCTCTTCAATCTACAGTTTCACTATACGAAAATGTTCAGAAAACAGAGCAGAAGAATGTAGTTAGCGGCTGTCTTCTCTACATCCATATATAGCTCTAGGTTAAGCTTCTACAAACACCAGCCTAACCATGCATGGGCTGCATGACCATTGTGGGCTAATTAACAACAAAAGCCCATAATTAATTACATCATAAACCGAGAGCAAAAGTGCTCTCTTAACAGCCTCCCCAAACTGACTAACAATCTGCACGGCGTAAGAGATATCAGGACGTGTGGCGAACAAGTAAATTAAACTCCCAACAATGCTCTGGTACTGCTTTCCGTCGGCCAACCGGTCACCAGAGTCATGACTGAGCTTGAGATTCAACTCCATAGGAGTCGAAACCGGATTATAGTCGGCCAAGTAATGATCAGCCAGAAGATCACCAATGTATTTGCGTTGGCTCAGAAGTATACCCTTGGTGTTACGTGAAACCTCCAAACCCAAAAAAAAAAGAGCTCACCAAGATCTTTGATACGAAAAGCAGAGCGTAATCTTGCTTTCAGCTGCTGAATTCCAACGGAATCGGTGCCGAAGATAATCATATCATCGACGTAAAGCAAGAGAACCACTATTCCTTGTGAAGATGCCCTGGTAAACAATGAGGGATCATTCAAACTCTGACAATATCCCATGCTCAGTATAGTAGCTTGAAACTTTTCAAACCAGGCATGGGGAGCTTGTTTCAACCCATACAGTGAACGATGTAGAAGACATACTTGACCAGGCTTGCCAACATTGTAACCAGGAGGTCACTCCATATAAATCACCTCCTCCAAATCTCCGTGAAGAAAGGCGTTCTTCACATCCATCTGAAATAAAGGCCAATTCTTCTGTGCAGCAACAACAATTAAGGTCTGAACAGTAGTCATCTTTGCGACTGGCGCAAAGGTTTCCCCATAATCAAACCCATATTCTTGAGTATACCCCAAAGGCACAACCCGAGCTTTATGCCGCTAATAGACCCATCTAGAAACATCTTGAGAGCATAAACCCAACGACTCTCGATTACTGGAACTAACGGCGGTGGACGATCAACAACGGTCCAAGTATTGTTTGCATGAAGAGCATCAAACTCCGTTTGCATGGCAGCATCCCAAAATGGATTCCCTTGTGCTTGTTTATACCTGGTAGGGACAATGTAACTGGAAACTCCATGAGCAACAAAATCTTGAAATTTAATAGGGGGCACTCCCTTGGTGATACGGTCGGACCGCCAAAGTTCTACAGGGGGCAGGACAGCTGGGGTGGACGCCCCTGTGGACGTGGAAGCACTAGTGCTGGGCGTGGCTTGTGGTTGTGAAGATGAGGAGCTGCTGTCCATGGCCAAGGAAGGTGAAGTAGGAGGGCTGTCGGGGGGCAGATCATGAGGAGTAGGCAAAGTATCCAGATCATCACCATCATCATCGAAGAACCTGGGTAAGGAGGATGCCGAGCCAGGGAAGGAAAACAATGACTCGGAAGAAGCAGGAAAGTACTTGAGATTTTCGAAAAAGACCACCGAACATGCTATACGAATACGTTGAGCAACTGAATCATAACACAAGTATCCCTTATGCACATCACTATAGCCAAGAAAAACACAGCGGACGGTTTTAGAAGTCAATTTTGTACGTTCATGTTTGGGAAGAAGGACAAAACAAAGAAAACCAAAAACACGAAGGTGGGCTGTCTTAACAATGGAAGGCGCGTACACGCATAATCTCAACACCCACGACGTGCCAAAAAATCCCTCCAACTGGAAGCAAGCGACTCGGATCGGGAGCAACGCGCACTGCACCCACCGGGAGCTGGAAGTGTTCGGCGTGCCGTTCACCGACGGGAAGGTGGAGGAGCTGAGGAGCGGCATCGCCGCGCAGCAGAGGATGGTCAAGAGGGAAGGGTTCATCGTCACGTGGCTCAACCCTGGTGGCGGTAGCACCAGCATCAGGCCCAACAGCCTCCTGCGCCGCCTCAACGACCTCTACCAGTGGTCCAAGCACGGCGTCCAGGTCACCGTCCCGGTGGGGACCGCGTGGGATCGATTTGAGCTCACCACCGGGAAGCTGATGGTTGGGGCCGGGGCAGGGGCTTAGCACAAGCGAAGAAGGAGTTGGAGGAGAATCAGAGGCCTCAGGCAGAAAAGGACAAGGAGATCGAGGAGCTGAAGAAGCAGGCCAAGGAGAAGGAGGATGAGCCGCCAAGAAGGAGAACGAGGAGCTCAAGAAGTGGGCTCAGGAGAAAGACGACCAGCTTGCTTCCAAGGACAAGCAGATCGCTAACCTCAGGGGACGGGTTAGCATGCTAACCCTTTAAGGGGTTGGTTTTTGGACACCCCCCTTTTAATTGGTCAATTTTTCATTAATTATTGACAAGTATTAATGAAAGTAAACATAATAAATGTTCTGTTATTAAATACAAAGTAAGCATTAAATACACCACATTAATTACCACTTTATTGGTATTTGTACCACTGCACTGATACTCAGATATGACATTGCTACCAGTGCACTGATATCGCTACCAGTGCAGTGGTATATCTACCAGTACAGTGGTACAACGTATCAGTGCAGTGGTATATCTACCAGTACAATGGTACAACGTATCAGTGCAGTGGTATATCTACCAGTATAGTGGTACACCGTATCAGTGCAGTGGTATATTTTTTGGAGGTGGTCGGAGGGAGTCTGCCGATGGGATTTTCACCGAAGAAGTGTGGCGGTCGGAGGAAGTCTGGTGGTCGGAGACTGCTGAAAAAGGAAAAATAAAATATAGTGAGAGAATTCCTAATGTGTATTTAATGTGTGTATTTAATTCCTAATGTGTATTTAATAGTGAGAGAATTCCTAATTAATATGGTACATTTAATTCCTAATGTGGATTTAATGTGTGTATTAAATTCTATAGTTGTATTTAATATACTAGGGGGTGTCATTTTTCCAACCCCTAAGGGGGGTTAGCATGCTAACCGACCCCCTAATCTCAGGAATGCTCTCAGTGCCTTCGTGTAATATAATTATTTATCGGTTCCATCAAAACATGAATTTCCTGTTCTTGGTATTGTCTGTTTCTGAATATTCCTCCTGCATATGCATGCATGCTTGCATCTCTACGTACGTACGTGTGTTCTGTTGTTGTGTATTTAATTGGTACCTCCTGATGAGGATCACTCGCCAATTAATTAATAAATTGTGGCTTTGTGTACTCTTCCTTATGTGTGCATTGTATGCCCACGGATACGGTGCGGATACCCTATATTCACTACCCGCCATTTATGCCTACGGATTTTACCCGTCACCGCCCCACAAAGCTATATGGGCAAAAAATCTGGCCCATGCCCAAACCCAAGCGGATTTCAGTGAATCCACGGGCACGGGTTACCCGCCAACATATAACCAAAACCATTCCTCCGTATCATTACAACGTATTACATGAAGTGAATTAAAACAAAACCAAAACATTTATGACATAAAGTAGTCAGCTAAAAAGGAAAGAAAGCCGAGCTAACAATCCATAACTGTAACCATGAACTTGCAAACCCATAACTTGTCTAAAATCCAGAAATATAACCATGATAAACCAATAATAACTGTATCAACATCTCAGCTAACAAGGAAAGAAAGCCGAGCTAACAAAGTTCAAAACATAACCACAAATGCAAGTCTAATAGTTCAAAAGCCGAGATAGTAGTACTCTAGGAAACTATGATTAGGCCAACTAAAAATAGTATGAAATCCGAGCTATCAAAATCCATCTTCATCAGCACCCCATCAGGCAAAATATCCACAACAGACTAGCAGGCCTTTGCCATCATCAGCAGACCAGCAGGCAGCAGCAAATCATCCTACCATCAACATACCAACAATACATCATACACCACTTATTCATTAACTAGTACCTAATGGACAAGACTATACAGTATGAAAGATTCAAGGTGTGTTCAGAATTTAACACATAACTCATAAGAAAGCATTAGTAGGGAAAATGAAAAATGTTAATGGTTCGATCACAAACCTAGAGCTAGTCCAGCAGGTTGATGACAACAGCTACATCATCCTCATCTCTTGCAATGTCTAAAGGCAGATACCGAAGCAACACTTATAACAGGGACAACAAGTAAATCCCTTGCAATGTCTTGCAAAATAGGATACTTGGCACCATTGAATTTCCACCCAACCAAGCAAATCCAAATCTGGTATTCTAGGATGAACATCCTTAGCTAAATAGTGATCTAACTCAGTGATTACTACTGATGTTCTGGTTTTTTCCTTTAGCTCACATATAGATCAAAATCCAGATCTGTGGCCGAAGAAGAAGAATGAGAAGTAGATGAAACAGTAGTGTTCTTAGAGGATTTCCTCTGATACTCGACAACCAAGTTAGCAACAACATCTATGATCCTTTCAATCACAAGGTCAGTACTTGAAATACCAAATTGGTAGCATAGTACCCAACCAAATCCAGTTTGTACCGGGGATCCATCACAACAGCCACAGCAAACAGCAAATGTATATCATCCCACTATTTGGTAAACTTATCCCACATGTTCGCAACCATAAAACAATCATCAGATTAGGATCAACTAACCATTCCATCAAACACAACCTCAAGTCACAAACTTTAGCAAAAATCAGATTGGCTGTAGGATAGTTTGAACCAGAAAATATAGCAGTTATGTCATTGAAAACCTCAAGTTTTCCACACAAAATTCCAGCAAACTCCCACTGCTCGTTGCTTGGCAGAGAGTTGTATTGAGGTTCCCTTTTTTTCATAACAGAGAACATATCATCATATGGGATAGCATCAAAAAGCATCTCATATGTAGAATTTCACCGAGTGGGACAATCCAACACCAGTTTCTTAGAAATAGCCGACTTTAATTGCTGGGCAGTTCCATGGAAAATTTCAACTCTCCTAGGTGTGCATGTCCAAAATACCACACTCTCCCTGATGTTCTCAATTACATCCTTAAGAACATCTAGGACATTCCTCATAATCAGATTAAGGATGTGAGCAAAGCACCTCATATGGAGAAGTGTCCCATCCCTAATTAGATTAGATAGGACCAGCCTTTGTTTAACCAGATTGATCATGGAATCATTGGTAGTACAATTGTCAAGAATAATTGTCGACAATGTACTATCAATGTTTCGTGATTGGAGGAAACCTCTCACTAGTGTGTGGGGCAAGGAGAGAACCAAACATTTACTTGATTTGTATCTAACTGGACTCGACGCCCTTAATTTACAGCATATTATAATTTGAGCAGATAACAGTTTAGCATCGAGCAGATTACAACAAATTAGCATCAAGCATAGTACAAATTAAGATTCAACATATTACAAAATATTACCATTAAGTAGATTACAAAAGATTAGCAATGGGAAGATTACAGTTTAGCATTGAGCAGATAAACAGATATCAGTTTAGCAGTTTAGAAGTTCCCAGCTTAAGCTTACCAGTTTCAAACTTTAGTACTTAACAGATTAGATGTGTTCAGTATTCAAGTTGAGCCTAAACGAAACCAATTGACAAAATTTCGAAGTTACAATCATCCCCCGATTGACCAGTTTAGCATATTACATGTGTTCAATGCTAATTTCCATACAACAATTGACAGGAACAAATTAAGCTACGAACAACCAACAACAAGGTGCAAAATTAGCACCAGCTGAAGATTAAGCACAAGCTACGAACGACTTACCTAAGCAGACTAAAGATTTAGCACCAGCTGCTTGATGAGAAACGAGGAGGAATCGTCGGAATGTAAGAGATTTGGAGATAAATTGGCAATTCGCCGTATTCGAGTTGAGAGGAAATCAGGGACGAGGGCGGCGGGGTTTGGTGATTAAAATGCCTTACAAAACAGCGTCGTGTTGTACTCAGGGCGGGTATAGGGTGGGGATCGTTTAATCCGTCCCCAGCCCATCACCGCAGCCACCGGGTCGCGGGCCTACCCATCATCGCCTTCCAGCCCGCCATCGCTGGTTTCAGCCCATTGTTTGCAGGTGGGGCCGGCGGATGTCCAAGATCAGCGGGCCCATTGCCATCCTTAATAATGACATCCATTTTGATAATATTCTAAAAATATTAATTGATGCACCATCCTATATAATATATCATGATAATATGTACTATAAACAAAGTTATTTGCAACAACAACAACAAAAAAAGACAATCCCTAAAACAATGGGAATGCGCTCACGATTTCTCGGCTAAACCAAAAACCGAACTATTTAAATCGCCATCACTATCTACGATGGATGAATAATAAGTATTAACAAATCAAAATACTTATAACGACTTCGGCGTAGCAATAAATGAAACGGACACACACCGATTTACGTGGTTTCCCCGAGATTCGGGACTAGTCCATGGGAGAGTAGGCACTCTCCGAGCTATAAGATCTTATTTGGTTTTCGGTGAGGTTACAGGGAAGAATAATAAATATATATAGCTTACATCACGGGGGAGAGAGAGGGAGAAAGAATTCGGCCAACCCTATCTCGTCTACACATACAGGATTTACAATGCTGGGTTGATCCATGCAACCAATATACGTCAACAGCCTCCCCCAAATTGATGTCGCTCACGAAGCATCAATTTTCTAGACAGGAACCATGAAGAGCCAGAGAGAAAGCTTTGGTGAATATGTCAGCCACTTGATGTTGCGTAGGCAAATAGTGTAGAACTAAGGTACCTTCAAACAAAAATCACGAACTTAGTGACTGTGAATCTTGATATGCTTGGTGTGATCATGAAGAACTGGATTAATAACTATCTGAATACAACTAATGTTTTCAACATAGAGAGTGAGAGGAGACACACAAGCAACACCAAAATCCAAGATAAGCCGCTGCAACCAAACCAATTTAGAACTCACATCTGACATGACCCAATATTCAGCCTCTGTAGAAGACTTGGAGACTTTATCCTGTTTGTTACACCGCCAAAAAACACAAGCCTCCCTGAATCTGACACACCAACCAGTCGTTGAACAATAGGTGTCAATACACCCAGCAAATCATAGTTAGAATATGCCTGAAGAGTAAGTGAACCATGAGAAGGAAAGAAAATACCCACGTCCCTGGTCTGTTGAAGGTAGCGGAGAAGACGAAAAATGGTAGCAAGATGAACATCATGCAGTCGATCCATAAACTGACTAAGCACCTGAACTGAATAGGAGATATACCGCCGAGTGCGCGTAAGATAGAGAAGGCTACCCACAATAGACTTGTACTGCGTACCATCACGAAGCAAAGTCCCAGATTCCCGACCAAACTTCACATTTACTTCCATAGGAGTGGA